TTGGCTGACTGTGCGAAGATCTCTGACACCTGTGGTCTGATCTCCGGTCTGCTCTCCGTGGTATGATCTCCGCGGTCTGATCTCGTGGTCTGATCTCGTGGTCTGATCTCCGCGGTCTGATCTCCGGTCTGAACTTGTGGTCTGATCTCTGGTCTGATCTCGTGGTCTGCTCTCTGCGGTATGATCTCCGCGGTCTGATCTCGTGGTCTGATCTCGTGGTCTGATCTCCGCGGTCTGATCTCCGGTCTGAACTTGTGGTCTGATCTCCGGTCTGCTCTCCGTGGTATGATCTCCGCGGTCTGATCTCGTGGTCTGATCTCGTGGTCTGATCTCCGTCTGATCTCTGATCTCCGGTCTGAACTTGTGGTCTGATCTCTGGTCTGATCTCGTGGTCTGCTCTCTGCGGTATGATCTCCGCGGTCTGATCTCGTGGTCTGATCTCGTGGTCTGATCTTCGCGGTCTGATCTCCGGTCTGAACTTGTGGTCTGATCTCCGGTCTGATCTCGTGGTCTGATCTCCGTGGTCTGATCTCATGGTCTGATCTCCGTGGTCTGATCTCCGGTCTGATCTCGTGGTCTGCTCTCCGCGGTATGATCTCCATGGTCTGATCTCCGTGGTCTGATCTCCGGTCTGACCTCGTGGTCTGCTCTCCGCGGTATGATCTCCGTGGTCTGATCTCCGTGGTCTGATCTCGTGGTATGATCTCCGCGGTCTGATCTCCGTGTTCTGATCTCCGTGGTCTGATCTCCGTGGTCTGATCTTGTGGTGTGATCTCCGTGGGTGATATTTGCTCCCGGGGTGGACGGAGCTGTCTGCGCTATGGATGAGCCCCAGGAATGGGAGGAGTCAGTTGGATTTTTCATGGTAATTGCAGACAACCTAATGAGACCAAGATGGCTGCAATTACTCCGCAGGGAGGACATTGGATCCTCTGTAGCTGCAATCCGGCAGATGGCCCAACCTGACCCCCTCCCCCCTCCTCATTTCACAGGGAGCGATTCTAATGCCGCCGTGACATCATCGAGAAAGGGAGGAGCGAATAGAGGAGACCACAAATGGACCAATTGGCCATCGGCTGCTGAGCGGGGTCGGGGTTCTCTGTGGGGGGATTGGGGGGGGGGGGGGCATCCATGGCAGCTGTATCCTATGAGAAGAGGATTTCTGGGCGTGTCCAGGGCGGGGTCAGTCATCACAGTGCGATCCGAGCCAAGAGTAGACTCCAGTGACCCCAGTGTTCCCAAATCTCCAGTGACCTCAGTGTTCCCAAATCTCCAGTGACCTCAGTGTTCCCAAATCTCCAGTGACCTCAGTGCAACTTTGTAGAAGGAGGAGGAGGCATTTCCTCAGTCTCCCCTCCCCCACTGATCAGACTGTACATTGTAACTTTGTAGAAGGAGGAGGAGGCATTTCCTCAGTCTCCCCTCCCCCGGTGATCAGACTGTACACTGTAACAATGTAGAAGGAGGAGGAGTCATTTCCTCAGTCTCCTCCCCCAATCATCAGACTGTACATTGTAACTTTGTAGAAGGAGGTGGAGGCATTTCCTCAGTCTCCCCTCCCCCTGTGGTCAGACTGTACATTGTAACTTTGTAGAAGGAGGAGGAGGCATTTCCTCAGTCTCCTCCCCCCGTGATTAGACTGTACATTGTAACTTTGTAGAAGGAGGAGGCATTTCCTCAGTCTCCTCCCCCAATGATCAGACTGTACATTGTAACTTTGTAGAAGGAGGTGGAGTCATTTCCTCAGTCTCCCCTCCCCCAGTGATCAGACTGTACATTGTAACTTTGTAGAAGGAGGAGGAGGCCAGCATCAATAGACCCCCCCAGCACGCCTCGCCATCACATACATTCAGTTCCAGGTCAGCGTTCCCCCTGCAGGAAGATAATAGGATGATTGGTGTCAGCGTTGACCCCCCCCCCCACGAACAATCTCTATGTTAGTTGAGAAGGCTGGACTAGAGCGAATCAGGAAAATGCCGCCTTATGGCCAGTAGATGGAACCGATGATCACCGAAAATAAATACTGATGATCCCCAGCTCCATCTAGTGGCCATTATGAGGTATTTTCCTGAAGCACTCTATTGTATGAATGAATGTCATTCGACCCGCAGAGAACGAAGCCCAGTGACATTCCATATGGCCCCCTATTCACACTGCAGCTTCACAAGACGAGGAGCTCTGCAAGGACAGGATTTGGGAAGTTCAGGCACTGAGGTACGATCGACCTTCCGCCTGGAGGGGTTAATGTCGGTTCGGATGGCAATGGTCGCTGCATTTGGTTGCCATATTGCGGCTAATTGCACCCCCCCTCCCCCCGGAATCCCCGGTGCCAGGACGGCCGACCCCACGGCGATGGTCCTCTTCTCACGGGAAGGAGGAAGTTGGTATTTATTTGGCGTCGGAGTCCTGAGACGGGAAAATGTGTCAATATTTACATTTCAGACTTTTCCTTTTCAAAGCCGAAGGCCGGAGAAGAATGTGAGCGCGACCCGAGCAGAGAGCAGCGGTGAAGGGAACGCCAACATTCACCCGCATGAGGGGTGTCATTTCAAGAGGACCTGTCTTGAACGGCAGTGAAGGAATTTGGGGGGTTCCGGGGTTCCACCCTCCAGACTCCAGGAAGCCTTCGGCTGCCGATCCGCAATTAAAGCCATGACAGTGTTAACCCCTTCCTGCTCGGGGGGGGGGGGCGCAGGGCTGCTGTTAGAAAACACGGGGCCCCATACAGCCAGCCTTACTGGGCCCTCCCCCTTCACTATGCTTCAGTTATGAATGAACACAGTGATTGGTACAGATGACTCATTGTGTTCATTCAGGAAAGAAAGGTGCTGGTTGATGTGACATATTTACTGGACCCCTCCCCCACTCTTCATCCTGAAGGATCCTATTGTGTGCTTGCAGCTGCCAGTGGGAAGGAGAGGAGGGAAGCCGGCACTGTGGGGGCCCAGGCAGCTGGTGGGTGCAATTACTGGAACCGATTCCCTGTATGGCTTTCCCTGCAGCAGCTGAAAACCAGCAGGAGAGAGAGGAGGGAAGCCGGTACTGTGGTGGTCGAGGCAGCTGGTGGGTGCAATTACTGGAACCGATCCCCTGTATGGCTTTCCCTGCAGCAGCTGAAAACCAGCGGGAGAGAGAGGAGGGAAGCCGGCATTGTGGGGGTCCAGGCAGCTGGTGGGTGCAATTCCTGGAACCGATCCCCTGTATGGCTTTCCCTGCAGCAGCTGAAAACCAGCGGGAGAGAGAGGAGGGAAGCCGGTACTGTGGGGGTCCAGGCAGCTGGTGGGTGCAATTACTGGAACCGATCCCCTGTATGGCTTTCCCTGCAGCAGCTGAAAACCAGCAGGAGAGAGAGGAGGGAAGCCGGTACTGTGGGGGTCCAGGCAGCTGGGTGAATCAGATGTGCACAGGGAGGGTGATTAGCATAGTGGGAGAGGGGGGTGGGGCTATTACTGGAACCGATCCCCTGAAGGGCTCTCTCTGCTGCAGCTGAAAGTCATCGGGAGGAAGAGGAGAAGAAGCCGGCTTTCAGCTGCTGCAGGGAGAGCCCTACAGGGGTTCGGTTCCAGTAATTTCCCCACCACGTGCCGATCACCCTCCCTGCCCACATCTGATTCACCCAACTGTCTGGGCCCCCCTGCTGGCCTGGGGCCCCTACAGGAGGACTGGTGGTACCCCCCTTATCCACGGCCCTGCCCCCGCATCCCTTTTAGGCTTGGTTCACCTGCGGGCGTGACTGAGCATGTGCGTTTCCACACGCTTTCAGAGCATTCCCGTGTCGGGCAGCTTTTTTTTCATTTCAATAGGCTGAAACGCGTAGCATCCAATCATGTTTTCAGATGCATGGGGGCGGAGCTAGCGATGAAGGGCATTGCCTTTCTGGGCGTGTCGGGAAAGCGATCTGGATACGCATAGATATGAGCCAAAGTGGATCTTTACTTCCTGGGACTGCCCGATCATGTGGCCACTGTGATTGGCTGTCACAGTAATCAGGTGATCAGGAGCCCATCTTGATGGCTTTCACTCATTACCAGAGACTGGGAGCTGTCTATGACAGCTCGGTCACCATACTGGCACACACTCAGTACAGAAACCTCAGCCAACCATGGACACCTATGTGCAGCGTGGGGGCATTAAAGCCTGCCCTCTTTGGGTCTCTGTGCTTGTCTATGCAATGAGGGCAGACCATGGCTGGTGGGAGGAGCCAGCCTGAAAAAAATCATAGCACCCGCATTCAGGACCAGCAACAAATAGTTATGGCACAAAAGAGAAGGTAGACATAAACTAATAAAGTCTCATTGCAAAATCCATGGCGCGTCCATAGTATGAATGTCAGTCATATACAGGCGGCTGCTCCCCCGACAAGGCTGGATAATCCTGATGGAGAGACAGGGGGCGCCACCATCTGAGTGTAGACTTAAGAAAAAGGGCGTGTCCCATCCTCCTCGGGGCGCCTGCAGAGTTCGGAAGGAGAGCGGCCAGGAATGGCAGAGCAGCGCCTGGGTGGATTTTTTTTATATTTGCATAACTCCTCCCACTGCTTGCTTCAGGACTGAGGGCTCCTGGGAGGAGTACAGAGGCGGGGGGAAGAATAGAAAGGGGGGGGGCGCCACCATCTGAGTGTAGTCTGGGCAGAGCACCGCCGGGCAATGCAAAGCCTGGAGACATGGAAAGGGGGGGCATCAGAGTTTGGGGGCGTGGCTACGCGTTTCGGGCATCTGCACCTTTGTCAGTCCATCTCCAGGTGACGCTTCCACAGCCAGCTCTGCCCGGACTACACTCAGATGGTGGCGCCCCCTTTTCTATTCTTCTTTCTGCCTCAGGACTCCTCTCAAGAGCCCTCATTCCCGATGCAAGCAGTGGGAGGAGTTATGCAAATATCAAAATTACCTGATGGGTGGGTCAGTCTGGAGCAGTGGGTGTTCCTAGACAGGCTGTATTTGCATAGGTAACGCCCACACGTGATGCAGAGCCTCCATGACTGAAAGAAACTGAAATCCAATGAATGAAAGGGGCGGGGCCAGGGGCAGTGAGGAAAGGGCTAGATGATGCTCTAATGTATGAAAGGGGTGGGGCTAGTCAGGCTGGAAAGAAGAGGGTCGAGGCAAGGGGCGGGGCCAGGGACAGTCATGCTGGGGAGATAAGCGCTAGATGATGCTGGATGTCCTCCAGCCAGGAAATGAGGCGGAGCTCTATCTGATTGGCTGCAGCTTCTAATGCACATTGTGAGAAGCTCCCAGTGTGCAGTGACATCAGAGGAAGCCATTCAAGTCCAGGGGAGGAACCAATACACCTGTGCAAGACTGAAGGGGAGGAGCCAATACACCTGTGCAAGACTGAAGGGGAGGAGGAGCCAGTACAGCTGTGCAAGACTGAAGGGGAGGAGGCAGTACAGCTGTGCAAGACTGAAGGGGAGGAGCCTATACACCTGTGCAAGACTGAAGGGGAGGAGCCAATTCACCTGCGCAAGACTGAAGGGGAGGAGCCAGTACAGCTGTGCAAGACTGAAGGGGAGGAGCCAGTACACCTGTGCAAGACTGAAGGGGAGGAGCCAGTACAGCTGTGCAAGACTGAAGGGGAGGAGCCAGTACAGCTGTGCAAGACTAAAGGGGAGGAGCCGGTACACCTTGCAAGACTGGAGGGGAGGAGCCAGTACACCTGTGCAAGACTGAAGGGGAGGAGTCAGTACACCTGTGCAAGACTGGAGGGGAGGAGCCAGTACACCTGTGCAAGACTGAGGGGAGGAGCTGTACACCTGTGCAAGACTGAAGGGGAGGAGCCGGTACACCTGTGCAAGACTGAGGGGAGGAGCTGTACACCTGTGCAAGACTGAAGGGGAGGAGCCGGTACACCTGGGGGGTGGAGGTCAGATTTGCCCACCAATACATTTCATGCACAGTATTATTATATCGGTTTCCATAGCAACTCCAATATAAACTATATACAGAAATATCAGGTTGCCCTTTAAACCAGACGGGGCACTCTGCCCCCCTCCCCCCCCAGAAGGTGGCGGCACGCCCTGGCGGTCCTACAATAGTCGGGTTTTCTCGATTCCGTCGGGGTCACATGACACGCAGACAAATTGTTCTTTCTGTTGCTGAGAACTTCCAATATTTTCTTTGGAGCCCCAGAGAGTCGCTGAGCGCCGAGCGCGGCACGGGAGGCATTTCTCTCCAACACGTGCGAGTTTCTGCGGCCATAGAAAAGGAGAAGTGAGGCCGTTCCCCATCATCTCTTCTCCAAAACATACGTCTCTCCCGCCCCGGCCTGTCTGCAGATCATTTCTCTAGGATCCTGGGGGGGGTGAGGGTGGGGGTTGGGGGGGGCACAAGTAAATTGACTTTATCATACACATATGGTCCTGCGCTTCTCAAGTTACAACACAGTCCCTTTTTTTTTTTTTTTTTTTTTTCTTTTTTAAACTTGTGGAGCTGATGCTGTGTCTGCAGACGGAGGAGAGACGGCGAATCGCCTTCCAGGACCAACCATTCCGGACGAATCCCAGGTCAGTCAATGGAAGGCAATGGAGTCAGGACGACTTTCCCGGACTGTCATTCCCAAGATTTACATTTCACTTTGTATTTTATTGTCACGTTATGTTGTGGTGGGAAGAATTCAGGATCCTGCAGTATGAGATGAGGAGGAGGAGGATGAGAATGATGAGGAGGAAGAGGAAGAGAATGACGAGGAGGAGGAGGAGGATTATGAGGGTGATGAGGATGAGGAAGAGAATGATGAGGATGATGAGGAGGAGGAGGATGAGAATGATGAGGAGGATGAGGATGATGAGGAAGAGAATGACGAGGAGGAGGAGGAGGATTATGAGGGTGATGAGGATGAGGAAGAGAATGATGAGGAGGAGGAGGATGAGAATGATGAGGAGGATGATGAGGAAGAGAATGATGAGGATGAGAATGATGAGGATGATGATGAGGAAGAGAATGATGAGGAGGATGAGGATGATGATGAAGAGAATGATGAGGATTGGAATTTTTAGCTGCTGTGAAGATTTTTGGTGGAAGTTTACAATGTTGCTTTTCTATGTTTCCTAAATAGGAAGATGTTACTTTTCAGATTTGTTTGTAACAGATCACAGGAGTTCCTCAGAATCATTTATCAGTAATTATGGATAAGGGGGGGGTTAGATAGTCTGTACTTCTTCGCATTCCTTTTCGGATAGGTAAACGGAAAAAAAAAAAAAACATTCTTCAGTTGTTCGTCTTCTCTTGTAACGAGTCGTTTTGTGACTGTGTACTATGGTAGGCGGGGGTGTATTTGGGTTTTGTGCTGCCCTATAGGCAACACAAAAATTGGGCACCCCTACCCCCCCCCCCCCCCATGGAGAGAGCCTGACATTGACCAACAACACCCCTGCCTACCCCCCACCTGAGAGAGCCTTCCACTAATACCCCCCCCCCACCTGAGAGAGCCTTCACACTAACACCCCCCCCCCCCCATGGAGAGAGCCGGATATTGACCAACAACACCCCTGCCTACCCCCCACCTGAGAGAGCCTTCCACTAACACCCCCCCCCCCACCTGAGAGAGCCTGACATTGACCAACAACACCCCTGCCTACCCCCCACCTGAGAGAGCCTTCCACTAACACCCCCCCCCCCCCATGGAGAGAGCCGGACATTGACCAACAACACGCCTGCCTACCCCCCACCTGAGAGAGCCTTCCACTAAACACCCCCCCCCCCCATGGAGAGAGCCTGACATTGACCAACAACACCCCTGCCTACCCCCCACCTGAGAGAGCCTTCCACTAACACCCCCCCTACCTGAGGGAGCCTGACATTGACCAACAACACCCCTGCCTACCCCCCACCTGAGAGAGCCTTCCACTAACACCACCCCCCCCCCCCCCCCCATGGAAAGAGCCTGACATTGACCAACAACACGCCTGCCTACCCCCCACCTGAGAGAGCCTTCCACTAACACCACCCCCCCCCCCATGGAAAAGAGCCTGACATTGACCAACAACACGCCTGCCTACCCCCCACCTGAGAGAGCCTTCCACTAAACACACCCCCCCCCCCCATGGAAAGAGCCTGACATTGACCAACAACACGCCTGCCTACCCCCCACCTGAGAGAGCCTTCCACTAACACCCCCCCCCCCATGGAGAGAGCCTGACATTGACCAACAACACCCCTGCCTACCCCCCACCTGAGAGAGCCTTCCACTAACACCCCCCTACCTGAGGGAGCCTGACATTGACCAACAACACCCCTGCCTACCCCCCACCTGAGAGAGCCTTCCACTAACACCACCCCCCCCCCCCCCCATGGAGAGAACCTGACATTGACCAACAACACCCCTGCCTACCCCCCACCTGAGAGAGCCTTCCACTAACACCACCCCCCCCCCCCCATCCTTAAACGAGAGAGAGAGAAGACCGTCACCTTCACAGCTCCAGACATCTCCGGGAACTACAGTCGGGCTCTCCATAGACCATCGAGCAGCCCGCAGCCTCTCTCGGATCCGACCCGGTCCCCATTCCACACATGTCCCTTCTTCCATCCCTTCTTCCGGGGGCAGTGCTACCCCCCCCCCCAAAAAAAAAAAAAAACCCTGGGCAAATGCCTTGTTTGCCTTGTGGTAAATACACCCCTGACTGTATGATCACTTCTTACCTTTTTTGTTTTTTTTTACATGTTCGAAATAAAAGAAACTAAAACCGGGAGTTCAGTGATATTGGAGGTGAAGATTCGGATCCGGACATTTCATCTGTTATTTGTCTTTGATTTATTCTCATCACAAGTTCTCATCGGCGTCTCACTTTCCTTTCAATACATTTTTATTGAATAATTTTCAGTTTAACCTTTCACCCTCCAGAGGACCCCCCCCCCCACCCTCCAGAGTATCCCCCCCCACCCTCCAGAGTACCCCCCCCCCTCACCCTCCAGAGGATCCCCGCACCCTCCAGAGTATTCCTCCCCTCGCCCTCCAGAGGATTCCCCCCCCCTCACCTTCCAGAGGATTCTCCCCCCCCAGAAAATTCACCCCCCCTCGACCTCCAGAATATTCCCCCCCTCACCCTCCAGAGGACCCCCCCCCCCCCACCCTCCAGAGTCCCCCCCCCCCCCCTCACCCTCCAGAGGATCCCCTCACCCTCCAGAGTATCCCCCCCCCACCCTCCAGAGTATTCCCCCCCACTCACCCTCCAGAGAATCCCCCCCCCCCAGAGGATTCACCCCCCTCTCGACCTCCAGGGTGTTCCCCCCTCACCCTCCAGAGTATTCCTCCCCTTGCCCTCCAGAGGATTCCCCCCCTCACCTTCCAGAGGATTCTCCCCCCCCAGAAAATTCACCCCCCCTCGACCTCCAGAATATTCCCCCCCTCACCCTCCAGAGGATTCTCCCCCCCTCACCCTCCAGAGGATCCCCCCTCCCACTCCAGAAGATTCCCCCCCCCCCCTTGCCCTCCAGAGAATTCTTCCACCCCCCCCCCCTCGCCCTCCAGAGGATCCCCCCCCCCTTCCTGACCAGGCCATCTTTTGCGTTACGCCGCTGTGTTACTTTAACTGACAATTGCGCGGTCGTGCAACGCTGCGCCCAAATTAAATCTTCATCCTTTTTTCCCCACCAATGGAGCTTTCTTTCGGTGGTATTTGATCCCCTCTGCGTTTTTTATTGTTTGCGCTATAAACAAAAATATTTTTTACAATTTTGAGAAAAAAACAATATTTTTGACTTTTTCCTATTAAACGTGTCCAGTAAAAAAATTTTAAAAATCAAATTTCATCATAAATTTCGGCCAAAATGTATTCTGCTCCGTGTCTTCGCTAAAAATGCGTGTAAATTAATTGGTTTACGTGAAAGTTATAGCGTCTACAAATGGCGGGATAGATACTGGGATTTATTTATTTGTTTGCTTTTTACTAGTAATGGCGGCGATCAGCGACTTATAGCAGCACTGCGGCGGACATTCTGACACTGGGGGGGGAACTGACTTGGTGTCACTGATATCCCCAGTGACACCAATACAGTGATCAGTGCTAATAAAAAGCCCTGACACTGTACTAATGGCACTGGGCAGGAAGGGTTTAACATCTGGGGGGATCAAAGGGTTAACTGTGTGCGGTGTGACAGGTACCCAACCCCACTTTCAGCTCAGTGTGCCACGGAAGTTCAGCCCCCCCCCCACCCCCCCCCCCCCCCCCCCCCCCCCCCCCCCCCCCCCCCCCCCCCCCCCCCCCCCCCCCCCCCCTTCAGCCCTCTGGGAAATTTCCATGGTTCCATGCTTTTCACGCATGCACAAAAGGAAACTGATGGTGAAGCCACAAGGCTTCCCTTAGTCAAGATGGCGGCTCCAGCACCCGACAGCCGATTGAAGTATCAGCTCAGGGTGAGGACACCGTGTTCAGGAAATGGACAGCCAAAGGGAAGCCAAGGGGAACAGGACAGAGATAACCAAAAGAAGATGCTTCAGGGGTGCAGCCCTCCTCAGACGGGGAGATCAGCCACTAGATAGAGAGTAAACAGGAGGCGCCCACACCTAGTGCATGATCCAAGGTTTCCTCAAAGGTATAAAAGACAAAAAACATTCTCCCAGATGAAGCATGTACTGTATAAAAAGCTTCTGCATTAAGAAGATGGCCACAGCGGCAACCAAGGTGTTCCAACCGTCAGTGCGGTCAAATGACTAACGCGTTTCGGGGACGAGTCCCTTTCCTCAGAGCTGCTGACCAGCCTGTATGAGGACACCAATGGATGCCAGGACAGGGAGGTGCCCTACTATTAAAAGTCAGCAGCTACAGTATTTGTAGCTGCTCACTTTTAATTTTCTGAGGGGGAGTTGGCGGGGGCCGGAACTCCTGAAGGTTTGGAGACCCCCGATTTATACTATCAACTGAGTTTACAACGTGATCAGAATTGAGAGTTTAGATCAAGCCTCATTATAGGTCTCCTCATCCACAGTCCTATCTACACCTTCAGCCCTGACGACTGGGCAGCCATCTTCCCGGGAAACATCTTGGCTCCTTCTGATGTTCTAATTCGACAAACATTTGGGTTAGACTTGTAAGTTTCATGAACTCCTGTACTGGGCGCTTCTCAATATCATCCCCAGAGTTTGTTACCTAGTGAAAGTTCTCTTTGAGGGCCAAGACCGGGACAAGGTTACTTTCCATTACACATTCATGGCCTGCCAGTCCCTTTACAGAAGGACTCACTCTACTTTACGTCCGAAGCAGGGGCGGACTGACAACTCATGGGGCCCCTGGGCAAAAGGGAATCGTGGGGCCCCTGTGTCCTTGCCCAAACTCAAAAAAAGCCTATGAAAAAGGTACCAGGGCATCTCATGGGGCCCCCTACTGACCCCGGGCCCTTGGACAGTGCCCGAGTTTCCAAATGGTCAGTCCCGCTCCTGGTCCGAAGGTGCTAGTACTTTGCTTCTACCGGTCCGGCGCTATCACACATATACATCAGCTGAAGAGAAGAGTCTCTCAGATGGTTCAGCTCTCTGGTATCTACCAAACATCAAAATATCATTTTCAGGGGAACTCAACCTTTGTCTGTGCAAAAGTAATATGTTCTTTAATCTGAAGTATTCAACAGTTCCTTCATCTTGGTGTCTCTTTTATCCTCCATAGGCATTTTCTGCTTCCAGCCAGTCATCCTTGTGCTGATGGTCAGACCAAATCAGCATGGCTTCCAAGATATCTAGAATCAGCCAGTTGGAGCATCTAACCACCATTGTCCTTCTCTTGTATGTGGGCCTATCCCTGGCTCAGCAAGACTGCAGAGGTGTGGAGTGTGAGCCTCCGGTAAACTGCATTGAGGAAGCGCTCGAGGAGGGTTCCTGTTGCCCAACATGCGTGCAGTTTGGGTGCACCTGCGAGGGCTACCAGTTTTACGACTGTGTGAACGTTGGCTTCAAAGATGGCAAAGTGACCGAAGGAGAGTCCTACTTTGTCGATTTCGGAAGCACAGAGTGTTCCTGCCCTCCTGGTGGTGGAAGGATTAGCTGCCACTTTATTCCTTGCCCCGAGCTGCCCCCGAATTGCATCGACATCATTCAGCCAACAGACGGTTGCATTCAGTGCGGGCGAATTGGGTGCATCCACGGAGGAGAAAAGTACGAGGCTGGACACACTTTTCACATGTCAGAGTGCAAGTTTTGCCACTGTCCCAATACTGGAGGAGAATTGATGTGCTACACTCTTCCCCACTGCAGCTCGGAAGGTGACAACACTACCCAACTCATGGACACGACGGAAAGCGACCCGGAGAAACAATATGACTACCCCTACAGTCATGAACAAGAGGAGCCCATCAACAGTGAGGTCATGGAAAGGAATAATAACTACAAAAGGAACGCCCTTCAGGTTCGCTCCATGGCGGATTATGGGGACAATATTGACGAACTGATTGACGTTGAACTTTCACCTGCACCCTCTTTACCACCAATGTTGGTAGAGCTAACAACAGAGAATGAGATGCATCTCTCCACCCAACCTGAGAAAACCACCCTCAATGTCCAGACTACCCAGATAACCAGCACCCTGACACCAAACACACCCAAGGCCAGCACTGCCAAAGTTGTCCCTGAGACCACAGCTCAACCAACCCAACAGGAGCTTCAAGAGCCAACAAGCCCAACCTTGGCACCCACAGAACATCCAACAAAGCCAAACACGACCCCAACTACTGGAAAGGGCACCACAAAAGGAGTGACTCTGAAATCAGATCCACAAATAAACAGCACAGGAGACTCGGTTCCATTGGAAGCTGAAACCGATTCCCCCAAAGAGGAAAAAGAAGGAAATGTGCCTCCAGGAACTGTGACACCAACAACAGCGTCTGTCCTTAGCCTGAGTCCCTCCATGGGGCCGCAAGTTCTGCTTCCTAAAGTGCTGAGCGAAGGCGGGGCTCCAATGGACGTTCTAAATCTCTCGAGATCGCATGATGGTAAGATGCTGTTGGTATTTTTTGTTTTGTTTTATTGTTAAACAGTTTTTTTGTAAAACAGAATTTAGACAATAAATTTAAATGTGAAGCCGTGCTTGACAGTGTTGTCAGGAACTATGCCCCACAGACACTGGGGGGGGAGGAATAGTGCCCCATTGTTGGTATCAGTGGGAGGAATAGTGCCCCATCATTGGTGTCAGTGGGAGAAATAGTGCCCCATCATTGGTGTCAGTGGGAGGAATAGTGCCCCATCATTGGTGTCAGTGGGAGGAGTAGTGCCCCATCATTGGTGTCAGTGGGAGGAATAGTGCCCCATCATTGGTGTCAGTGGGAGGAATAGTGCCCCATCATTGGTGTCAGTGGGAGAAATAGTGCCCCATCATTGGTGTCAGTGGGAGGAATAGTGCCCCACCATTGGTGTCAGTGGGAGGAATAGTGCCCTATTGTTGGTATCAGTGGGAGGAATAGTGCCTATCATTGTGTCAGTGGGAGGAAAAGGGCCCGATCATGGTATCAGTGGGAGGAATAGTGCCCCATCATTGGTGTCAGTGGGAGGAAAAAAGGGCCCGATCATTGGTGGTCAGTGGGAGGAATAGTGCCCCATCATTGGTGTCAGTGGGAGGAAAAGGCCCGATCATTGGTGTCAGTGGGAGGAATAGTGCCCCATCATTGGTGTCAGTGGGAGGAATAGTGCCCCATCATTGGTGTCAGTGGGAGGAATAGTGCCCCATCATTGGTGTCAGTGGGAGGAATAGTGCCCCATCATTGGTGTCATTGGTATCAGTGGGAGGAATAGTGCCCCATCATTGATGTCAGTGGGAGGAAATAGTGCCCCATCATTGGTGTCAGTGGGAGGAATAGTGCCCCATCATTGGTATCAGTGGGAGGAATAGTGCCCCATCATTGGTATCAGTGGGAGGAATAGTGCCCCATCATTGGTGTCAGTGGGAGAATAGTGTGCCCCATCATTGGTGTCAGTGGGAGGAATAGTGCCCCCCAGTGGGAGGAATTAGTGCCCCATCATTGGTGTCAGTGGGAGGAATAGTGCCCCATCATTGGTGTATCAGTGGGAGGAATAGTGCCCCATCATTGGTGTCAGTGGGAGGAATAGTGCCCCATCATTGGTGTCAGTGGGAGGAATAGTGCCCCATCATCAGTGGGAGGAATAGTGTCAGTGGTGAGGGAGGAATAGTGCCCCATCATTGGTGTCAGTGGGAGGAATAGTGCCCCCATCATTGGTGTCAGTGGGAGGAATAGTGCCCCATCATTGGTCAGTGGGAGGAATAGTGCCCCATCATTGGTGTCAGTGGGAGGAATAGGCCCCATCATCAGTGGGGAAATAGCCCCATCATTGGTGTCAGTGGGAGGAATAGTGCCCCATCATTGGTGTCAGTGGGAGGAATAGTGCCCCATCATTGGTGTCAGTGGGAGGAATAGTGCCCCATCATTGGTGTCAGTGGGAGGAATAGTGCCCCATCATTGGTGTCAGTGGGAGGAATAGTGCCCCATCATTGGTGTCAGTGGGAGGAATAGTGCCCCATCATTGGTGTCAGTGGGAGGAATAGTGCCCCATCATTGGTGTCAGTGGGAGGAATAGTGCCCCATCATTGGTGTCAGTGGGAGGAATAGTGCCCCATCATTGGTGTCAGTGGGGGGAATAGTGCCCCATCATTGGTGTCAGTGGGAGGAATAGTGTTCCCATCATTGGTGTCAGTGGGAGGAATAGTGTCCCATCATTGGTGTCAGTGGGAGGAATGTCATGGAGTCAGTGGGGGAATAGGAATAGTGCCCCATGCCCCATATTGGTGTCATTGTGCCCATCATGTGTCAGTGGGAGGAAAGTAGTGTCAGTGGGAGGAATAGTGCCCCCATCATTGGTGTCAGTGGGAGGAATAGTGTCCCATCATTGGTGTCAGTGGGAGGAATAGTGTCCCATCATTGGTGTCAGTGGGGGAGGAATAGTGTCCCATCATTGGTGTCAGTGGGAGGAATAGTGCCCCATCATTGGGTAATCAGCAGCAGGAACTATGCCCCACAGTCACATACAATGTTGGGGGGGGGGGACAGTGCCCCAAGGGCCGGATAAAAGCAAGCAAAGGGCTACATCCAGCCCCGGATGCAGTTTGGAGACCCCCATAAAGGAGCAGGTAACTCATGCACAGCCCCCCGGCATGGGAAATAAACATTTTTCTGGAGTTCTTTACCTGTTGAGTTCTTCCCCACCTCAGTACAGTAATACAGTAAAATACGTTGTGATAAATAAATGATATATAGAAATCAGGGCGATCAGAATTCCAGCGCCGCGCTCGGCGGTTCCGCTTTCCCTTTATCACATCGCGTGACGCGTTTACACTGGAAAAAAAAAATGTCAATTGTGTTTTATTTTCTTCTTTCTGGAATTTGTGTTGAGAATTTCTCTCCCATCTGACCGATAAGAGCGGCTTATCTCCGGCAGATAATGACTCCCCCTGCAGGCACCCAGCAGCCCCCATGCCTTGTACTGGGGGGGGGCCCTTATCACAGGAAGGAAGGCTTGTCCCTGGAATGTCACAAAGTGTCTGAACATGTTACATGTCTGTCTTCATGTGTTGTCATTGGATACAACGTGTCATGTGTTATCAGTCAATCCCGGGTCTGCGATGACAAAAAAACATTAAAAAAATCCCAACTTCTCATAAAAAATGATGTTTTAGATCTTGAGAATCCCATCCCCGCAAAATGTTATCCCAAATGGCCCCCCGCTGGCCCAAAATACAATTCCCGTCAGGCTTCCCGGTCCCAATTCTGGAGTTTGTGGCGGAGAAAAGAAAAGTTCTAAAAGATATTTTGATGATTTTGACACGTTTGTTATTTTACAAAAAAAAAAAAAACCTTTAGAATTGCTTTAAAGTGGTTATAAAGCCAAAATATCCCCCCCCCACCTTCCCCCCTCCCCCTCTCACCTTACCCCCCCTCTTCCCCTCACCTTCCCCCTTTTACTTACCTGAGCTCTCATTTGATCCAGCGCTGTTCCCGTCTGCAGCTCTACTCACTTCCTGGCCATTGGCTACCACTGCTGTCAATCAAAACCAGTGATGGGGAGGGGTCTCCAAGTTGTGTGCGTACCCTCAGCGTCTTCACTTACAATACAGAGTGTTGGTTCTTGTATTGGACCCCGCATTCACTACATCCCCGGACCCCGCATTCACTATATCTGCTCTCCCCGGACCCCGCATTCACTATATCCGCTCTCCCCGGACCCCACATTCACTATATCCCCGGACCCCGCATTCACTATATCCCCGGACCCCGCATTCACTATATCCCCGGACCCCGCATTCACTACATCCCCGGACCCCGCATTCACTATATCCGCTCTCCCGGACCCCGCATTCACTATATCCGCTCTCCCCGGACCCCGCATTCACTATATCCGCTCTCCCCGGACCCCGCATTCACTATATCTGCTCTCTCCCCGGACCCCGCATTCACTATATCCGCTCTCCCCGGACCCCGCATTCACTATATCCCCTCTGCCCGAACCCCGCATTCACTATATCCGCTCTCTCCCCGGACCCCGCATTCACTATATCCGCTCTCCCCGGACCCCGCATTCACTATATCCCCTCTCCCCGGACCCCGCATTCACTATATCCGCTCTCCCCGGACCCCGCATTCACTATATCCGCTCTCCCCGGACCCCGCATTCACTGTGTCCGCTCTCCCCGGACCCCGCATTCACTATATCCGCTCTCCCGGACCCCGCCTTCGCTATATCCGCTCTCCCCGGACCCCGCATTCACTATATCCGCTCTCCCCGGACCCCGCATTCGCTATATCCGCTCTCCCCGGACCCCGCATTCACTATATCCGCTCTCCCCGGACCCCGCATTCCCTATATCCGCTCTCCTCGGACCCCGCATTCACTATATCCGCTCTCCCCGGACCCCGCATTCACTATATCCGCTCTCCCCGGACCCCGCATTCACTATATCCGCTCTCCCTGGACCCCGCATTCCCTATATCCGCTCTCCCCGGACCCCGCATTCACTATATCCGCTCTCCCCGGACCCTGCATTCACTATATCCGCTCTCCCTGGACCCCGCATTCCCTATATCCGCTCTCCCCGGACCCCGCATTCACTATATCTGCTCCACCCAGACCCTGCATTCACTATATCCGCTCTCCCCGGGCCCCGCATTCACTATATCCGCTCTCCCCGGACCCCGCATTCACTATATCTGCTCTCCCCGGACCCCTCATTCACTGTATCCGCTCTCCCCGGACCCCGCATTCACTATATCCGCTCTCCCCGGACCCCTCATTCACTGTATCCGCTCTCCCCGGACCCCGCATTCACTATATCCGCTCTCCCCGGACCCCGCATTCACTATATCTGCTCCACCCAGACCCTGCATTCACTATATCCGCTCTCCCCGGACCCCTCATTCACTGTAATCGCTCTCCCCGGACCCCGCATTCACTATATCCACTCTCCCCAGACCCCGCATTCACTATATCTGCTCTCCCCGGACCCTGCATGCACTATATCCGCTCACCCCGGACCCTGCATTCACTATATCCGCTCTCCTCGGACCCCGCATTCACTATATCCCCTCTCCCCGGACCCCGCATTTACTACATCCGCTCTCCCCGGACCCCGCATTCACTATATCCTGTCTCCCCGGACCCCGCATTCACTATATCCTGTCTCCCCGGACCCTGCATTCGCATTTCTGGACAGTACTGATTGGCCCTATGCTGATCACATGCACTCTCCCAAGAGAAAAAAAAAATATCTCTAGCAATACACACCAAACTGAGCATGTGCAAATGCCTACAGTTCAGTCTGTCTTATCAGGAGATAAGAGATGGTTGCTTGAAAAAAAGGATCAGAGAGGACAGGATCAAACAGCCTTTTTACACAAATCGGAGGATTAACCCATTAGGGTCCACAGTGAGTATAACCAGGGCCGTGGATAATGGGGTACCACCAGTCCTCCTGTACGGGGCCCAGGTCAGCAGGGGGGGCCCAGGCAGCTGGGTGAATCGGATGTGGGCAGGAAGGGGTGAACGGGGAAATTACTGGACCCAATCCCCTTTATGACTTTCCCTGCAGCAGCTGAAAGCTGGGTTCTTCCCTTCCCCCCACCCCAGCTGGCTTTCAGCTGCTACAGAGAGAAACATACAGGGGATCGGTTCCAGTAATTTACCAGCCCCTTCCGTTCTTGAATGAACACTCTCCTGCATTCCTACAGCCATTGAGAAATACTGTGAGAGCTGTGATTGGTCACAGCTTGTCACATGGTACAAGGCTGTTGTGAATGGCCCTGTACCATGTGATCTCTGAGATCATTCACAGATTTCACACGTAGTAAGCAATGATGTCAGAAGTAATATCTTGCTACTCTGCATGTGATCACTGATTGGCTAATCAGTGATCACATGACCGGGACCTCACACAGAGGTCCCGTACGATGATCGGTGTTCCGGATCGCGGTGATGCTCCTGGGAGCGCGCACAAGCAGGGGGCGGGGAGGCCGTTTATATACAACGGCAGGATGGGAGGTTAAAGACAAAGACGTCTTCCCCAATTTTTAGACCAGAGCCAGCAACGGCGCCTCTCCAGATTTTAGCGCACTATTGCTATTGGCCGCCATTCTCCTTATATAACAGTAGCGCCGGATGACGCGGGGTACACCGGATGACGCGGGGTACACCAGATGACGCGGGGTACACCGGATGACGCGGGGAACGCCGGGTGACGCAGGGTACGCCGGATGACGCGGGGTACGCCGGATGACGCAGGGTACACCGGATGACGCAGGGTACACCGGATGACGCGGGGTACGCCGGATGACACGGGGTACACCGGATGACACGGGGTACGCCGGATGACGCGGGGTACGCCGGATGACGCGGGGTACGCCGGATGACGCGGGGTAAACCAGATGACGCGGGGTACACCAGATGACGCGGGGTACGCCGGATGACGCGGGGTACGCCGGATGACGCGGGGTACGCCGGATGACGCGGGGTACGCCGGATGACGCGGGGTACGCCGGATGACGCGGGGTAAACCAGATGACGCGGGGTACGCCGGATGACGCGCCGGATGACGCGGGGTACGCCGGATGACGCAGGGTACGCCGGATGACGCGGGGTACGCCGGATGACGCGGGGTACGCCGGATGACGCGGGGAACGCCGGATGACGCGGGGTACGCCGGATGACGCGGGGTACGCCGGGTGACGCGGGATACGCGGGGTACGCCGGATGACGCGGGTATGACGCGGGTACGCCGGATGACGCGGGGGTACGGGGTACGCCGGGATGACGCGGGGTACGCCGGTGACGCGGGATACGCCGGGTGACGCGGGGTACGCCGGATGACGTGGGGTACGCCGGGTGACGCGGGGTACGCCGGGTGACGCGGGGTACGCCGGGTGTGTTTTGGCCCCCCGTTGCTGTACGTCTCCTCTCCCACCATGGAATCACAATGACCCTCCCCCTCCTCATTTGTGTTCGCTGACACCGGAACGCTCCAAGCTCCCCGCATTGTTGGACGGCTCAGAAAACCTTTCAAGAATCTTCCA